TGAGTCAGTGTACAGTATTCTTTAACACTTTGTTGATTTAAATACTTATTTCTTTAGAAGCCATCCGATTAGCGGCTATTTGTAATATGCATCTGTTAATTAAGAAACCAGTTTCTTGGGACTGAGTAGGCACTAGATGACTATCTGAGTTTCTGGAAACTCCAGTTGAAGTGAATGGAGTGACTGGCAAAAAGTTTATAAACAAGAGGTTGTGTCTCTTCCTTGAGCTGATCAGGACAGATTCCTGTTATGGACTGCTGAGGTTATTGTTCCTTATTTCCCAACTTCCCTACCCAGAGGTGTCATCCATTTGACTGTGATTTGCAGTTTCAGAGAGTTTTCTCTTACATGTCTATATTTGTATTTATTGCCCTGAGAGGTTTGCAGGGTGAGGTTCAGAGAATTACATCCTTCAGCAGCTGAAATGATGGTGTTATTTAGTTATGGACTGAACGCTGTGTTCCTCAAAAATTCGAATGTTGAAATCCTAACCCTCAAGATGATGGTATTAGGAGAGGGCACCTTTGGGTGGTGATTAGGCCATGAGGGTGGAGCGTTAACAAATAGGATTAGGACCCTTATAAAAGAGTCCCCAGAGAGAACTTTTCTGCCATGTGAGGTTACAAGGCAAAGTAGCAGTCTGCAAATCAGAACAAGGCCCTCATCAGAATTCAGCCATGCTGGTTTCTGGATCTCCAACTTCCAGCCTCCAGAACTGTGAGAAATAAAATTTTTTTTCTTAAATTTGCCACCCAGTTTATGATATTTTGTTGTAATAATGCAAAGTGATTAAGACACACTCCTACGCTTAAAACTCCTTAGTGTTTTGTATGGTTCTTTGAAGACACACCGGAATCACTCACACCTGCAACCTGACCATTGTCTACTCATCTCTTCAGCCCCACCCGGACCACGCGATGCCTTGCTCTCCATGCAGCAACTGTACTGGAATGTTTCTAATTCCTTAAATCCCACCTTGCTTCCTCCCACTGGCAGACCACTGATACCCTGGCCTCCTTGCTCAAAGGCTCTCCCTCCCCCATCTCTTCACCACATGGCCATCATTTGTTAACCAGAGTTCTGGTTGAAAGTCACTCAGGGTCAGGTCCTTCTATTGCCACTTATTTCTTTACATGTAGCACACAGTCCTGTTTATATTTATATATCTGTGTGATTGATTAAGGCCAATTTTCAAAGAAAGGGCTATTTTAACGTGTGGCTAGCAATGCCAACATCACATTACACGTGAGTAGTGAACCATAAATAGCAGCTACTGACCCCTAGTCCAACACCTTCAGGCAAATTCTTAAACAACTGTTGACTTACGTCATCAGAAAATGAGTCAGCTAGATAACTTTATCTTTCTGTACATTATTTTAAGGCATACATACATATACATCTTAAAACACAGTCTGGAAGACCTATAAAGGCAAACAGCTTTTGTCTCTAATATTAATTAAAATTGTGCTTTTTAATAAATTGATAAGCATTAATGAAATAAATCATTGAGCTATCTGCTCAGTTTTCTCCTCCTTTTATAAAATCAGAATAAACCTTCTTTTTAACAACAATGAAATAACAAGGAATTTATTCTTGTTCTTCAAGTTGTTATCCTTTTGTCTGCACAATCAGAACTAGTATTTCCAGTTTTCAGGTGAGGAATCTTAGGCACAAGCCGTTTTGGACACTTGATCAGTCACCTTAGAGCTGCATGCCCTGTCTCCCAAATCACCCTAGTCAATTGCTTTCCTGAGACTCACGTATTTCCATCATGATGATGATTATAAATGACCTTCTGAATCATGGGCTGTGCTACTGTGTTAAAGAGATGAAGTTTATTCCCCATAGGAACTCCTAATATTCAGGCACCATTTCTCTAAGCTTTAGGAGTGGCTAAAATGAGGGCTTGGAGGAAGTAGACAGTGTGTCATTGGGTGGCAATCCAAAATCTGTTCAACTTGGGGCCTAATTCAAAAGAGTTTAAGAAAGAGGACATGAGGAATATGAGATGTCCCCTAGAAAGCTAGCATCACATATATCTGGTGTCCAGAAACAGAGGGTTAAATTATGGGAATTCTGCTTAATGTCACTGACAGCCTCAGCCAATGAGGGATCTGTCACAGGAAGATGAATGTAGTCTTCCAGATACTGTTCGTACATCCCTCTTTGGGTTCAGTCTGGAATCCCTGGGTCCATTCCAATTAAATCTTAAGATGAACCTGGCTCAGAGTGTTCAGAGCTGGCAGCCCACAGTAGATTACTTAGGAATACCCTAGAGGATTGGCCAGATTGCTCCAAGAATATAACAAATGAAATGACTGATAACTCGTAGTCTCTGTCAGTTTCCTGTCAGTGAGTGATGAATGAAAGGCCCACAGTTAGGCCCTGAGATGCACAGTCAATACACAGTCTATTTTGTGATTCTAGATAAATGGCACCCCAACCTGTCTCCAGGTTACAGCTAATTACCAATCCCCCGAATCCCCAAATCACCAACATCACTCCATTACAGGAAGAGCCAGAATTTGAGCTAAAAGCTTCAGCAAGTACCATAGAAAAATATGTAGTTCCTGCCCTCAGGAGCTTACAATCTAGATTTGTCTTGTGCTTATACAAATGTCCCCATGAGAACCTCAGATGATAACAACACGTAATGAGCACTCAATATGTGCTGGACACTATTTTGAGTGTTTTACATCTTTTATCTAATTCAATCTTTTTTTTAAATTTATTATATTGCATATTAGGTTTTGGGGTACATGTGAAGAACATGCAAGATTGTTGCATAGGTACACACGTGGCAGTGTGATTTGCTGCCTTCCTCTCCATCACCTCTATCTGGCATTTCTCCCCATGCTATCTCTCCCCAACTCCCCACCCCCCACTGTCCCTCCCCTATTTCCCCCCAACAGACCCCAGTGTGTAGTGCTCCCCTCCCTGTGTCCATGTGTTCATTGTTCAACACCCGCCTATGAGTGAGAACATGCGGTGTTTGATCTTCTGCTCTTGTGTCAGCTTGCTGAGAATGATGGTTTCCAGGTTCATCCATGTCCCTACAAAGGACATGAACTCATCGTTTTTGATGGCTGCATAATATTCTATGGTGTATATGTGCCACATTTTCCCTGTCCAGTCTATCATCTATGGGCATTTGGGTTGGTTCCAGGTCTTTGCTATTGTAAACAGTGCTGCCAATTCAATCTTTATGATAATCTTTACAATACTTTGAGGTAGATGTGATTATTATCCTCATTATAGAAATTAAAAAAAAAAAGGAAACACAAATAGGATAGGCAATAAGTCTGAGGTCACAGAGCTAGGAAAAAGTGGAGTTGGGGCTCAAATCTAGGTGTCTGTATACTAAGATGTTGGCCTATGTAAGCATGTTTGTAAGGTGGTAAGTATCTGAGGTACTCCCCTAGAATCATCATAACAATAGGAAATCATTCCTATGGGCCAGGCATTGTGCTGAGTTATTTTACATGCATTATTTTATTCAATGTTCACAACTAGTGATCACCATCATTTATGTAATTCTTTTTTAAATGCCTCCATTTGCTTTCTCTTACACTTCTACAATATCAGTATATTTTTACCTTATAGATGAGGCTTAAGGAGATATGAACCTTTCCCAGGGTTAACACTGCAGGACTCAATTCTTGATTAGTTTTCTCCCAGGTCAGACACCCACATATTGGCATCATTTTACATTTTGAGAAAAACACCTTCAAGTAATATCCTAGACAAATGTTACTCTAACAAAAACAATAATATGGCTCTTTATATAGTGCTTCACTTCTAATGCTTGGATTGACCTGAGTCCCATGACAAGTCTAAGTGTTCGTACCTCAGGTTGTAGATGTCAAAAGAAAGACTCAAAATATGAGGGGTAATTTGAGTTATATAACTTTGTCCACACTCACTGAGCTACATTTATTCACTAGTTCACTTAAGAAACCAGCGTGCTGTTATATTCTGGCCCTTGAGGGACAAAGCTGAATGACACCCCCTTATCTTCTGTAATTCGCACAGTGGAACAGTCTATGGATCCACTTTGAACCTGGTGGAAAGATGTCCATTGGAAGGGGTAGATGCTCTGATCCCGGTGGGCCATGCTTGCTCCCCAGGGGACCCCTCTCCTGATTCTTCACCTCCCTCTCCTTCAGTCTGGTGAAAGGCAGCATTTGCCCTTCTCAGGAAAGGTATAACTTGAACACTTGGCCCTGATGAGGAAGCAGCTCTTCAGGGACTTTTTCAGCCATTTGTAAACAGTTTCAGTGGCAAGCTGAGAACTGTAATCCATGAATGGGACAACACTGTATAAGTCATCAAGTCTAACTTCCAGAGGAACAGCTGGTAGGATTGATAAGGGAGATAGTGAATCCTAGAGCAAAGCGCTAAACTTCTGTCTATAACTTGAGGCTACTGGAAAGACCTCGAAGAGGCAACTCCAGAAGCTCAGCTCGTAGGAAGCTCCAGTACCAATAGCCCCTTGATGATGATGGTGTTGGTGAAGGAGATAGCGCCCCTCAAGTTTCTCCGTGCCCTAGGCAGTCCAATTTTCACTCTGCAGACTCTTTCTGGCTCTAACTATACCCGATAACACGGCGTGAACGAGGAACAGCATGGCCTTTAGGGCCAATCAGACATGAGTTAGAAAAATTCCTACTATGTAAACTTGAAGATGAATGATTGCAAACTCCCTGAACAGGGCTCAGAGACAATGTCATGCATACAGAGGGGCCTTGTAATTTGAGGTTTACAGAACCCGAAGTGAAGGGGTCAGGCAACCGGGCACTGCGGAAACTCACAGCTTTCACCCAGCGAGCTGACAAAGTGTCTGGGACGCACTCCAGTTGCGTCTGGATCTTGGCTGAATCCGACGCTCAGGGTGGAGGAGACACAAGCACAGCGGCTGCCCAGCGTGCGCCCAGCCCTCCCACCACTGATCCCCACTGCCAGGAGGCCGGCCGCTGGCCTGGCGGGAAGGGGCCGGGAAACCTCAGAGCCCCGCGGAGGAGACAGTAGCCGCCTTGTTCCACAGCCCGATGGCTTCCCCCCGCTCCCCCTCCCAGGATCCAGACACCACCGCCCCACCCCTCAAGCCCCACCTCTCTGGGGGATCCTTTCCGCCCCAGCCCTGAAAGCGTTAACCCTGGAGCTTTCTGCACACCTCCCACCGCTCCCGCCCAAGCTTCCTAAAAAAGAAAGGTGCAAAGTTTGGTCCAGGATAGAAAAATGACTGATCAAAGGCAGGCGATACTTCCTGTTCTCGGGACACTATATATAACGTGATGAGCGCACGGGCTGCAGAGACGCACCGGAGCGCTCGCCCAGCCGCCGCCTCCAAGCGCCTGAGGTTTCCAGGGACCACAATGAACAAGTTGCTGTGCTGCGCGCTCGTGGTAAGTCCCTGGGCCAGCCGAGGGGTGCCCGGCGCCTGGGGAGGCTGCTGCCACCTGGTCTCCCGACCTCCCAGCGGACCTGCTGGGAGAAGGCTCCACTCGCTTCTTCCCAGGAGAGGCTTGGGATCAGGCTGGAGCAGGAAACCGCTTTCAAGCTGTGCCATGATTCCCCTAGGATGTCCTTTTATGCTGCAAAGTTTCTGCTGAGTTTATGGAAGACAAGAATGAGCGGGGGTAGAGGAGGGAGGGAGAAAGAGAAGGGAAGAGAGAACTTTGTTTGAAAAATTTTTTAAATCATTAACCTCTGTCTTCATCTCAGAGTATTAACACCCTCATGCTATCTTTGCTTAATGAACTTGGACTTTTACTATTATTAGTGGCAAAGAAGTGGTCCCTTAGATTCAGGGTAAGTTGGAAGAAGATGTTAGTCTTCTTAAAACCATTATAATTAGAATTTGGATACATTGAATATGTCATGATTATTAGATTTTCTAATACAAGTATGGGAAATTTTGAATAATTTGGAGAAAAGATCTCTCACATACACTCACACTTCTTAACTATGCAACTTAATATCTGGATAAAATTTGTTAAAATTGATTATTTCACTGCTCAACTTCAATATGCTGTGGAAAATATTGGCTGTATGTTAATTATGTTCTAAAATATATATAAATAATTGAAGTTCAGCACTAAATGGGGCTAAAAATTGTTTTTACAATGTTATTTGGAAAAGAAAGGAATCTGTGACTTAGATTAGCTTCTTCTATTTTTTTTTTTTTTTAAGCTTAGGTTTTAATCAGGTTAATAAGATTTGATGTAGGTTTTTCTATGACCAATGACTTATTTTCTTTATGTCACTAGAGTGTGGAGTACACAAGATATGAATCAGACATTTACGCAAGGCTAGGAAGAGCCATATTTAAGCCATATATGTGTTTTGGATGTGTTTGAGTAAATGTTTGAATTTCAGCCTCCAACCCACAAATAATGAATAGAAGGGTAGGTAGTCTTCCACTTAGGTCCTAGGATACAGAAACATAAATAAGTAAATAAATAGCAAAGACACTAAAGAAATGGTAAGTTGGATAGGAGTCTACACATAAGTATGTTTATATATGTGTGTGTGTGTGTGTGTGTGTATAACTTCATCAGTATAGATACTATGGAGAGCTTTTTAAAAAGTGAATCTTTATTAAAATATAACACATTGAGAACTGTGCAAGTCATTAGTGCCTAATGGAGTTTTTCTAAGTGAGCACTTGTGAGCTAGCACACAGATCTAGAAATACATTATCAGCACCTCAGGAGCTCCCATCACTACTCTGTCCACAGCCAGAACAATCAGTATTCTGATTTGAACACCACAGATGAATTTTGCTTGTATTTGATCTTTCTATAAATGGAATTTATGGATTTTTTTTTGCATTTGACACCTTTCATTCAAAGTTCTGTTGTGAGATTCAGCTCTACTATAGGATATATAATAATTTGTCCATTTTCATTGCTGTATAGTCTTCCATTGTATGGATACACCATAATTGATTTAATCATCCTAGTTTGGGGCTAGTATTAATAACTCTACTATTAATATAGGGACACTTTTATTCTTCCTAATCCTTTTTATTTTGTCAAATATTTAATTAATAATAAACACACTAGCAATGAGTTAAATTTCAGGATGTCCACTAAATATGTTTCTAATTAGAAGCATCCATAAATGATAGTCAAATATTTTTTATATATGGTCTGTACAGGAAGATAGACATATATGTAGATAATACTAATTTTAGATGATACAGCCTTATCAAAAGAGAAGACTTTGTATGTGTCTTAAACACAGTAAACACTTTATATAGGAAGAATTTTGCTTCCCCTTTCTTTAGCTTCTGAGATTTACTTTATTTTGAAAACGATTGCAAATGGACACTCTATACTTACACACAGAGTCCAAAATGCCCTTTTGTAAAACCAAGGTGCCATTGTAGGAACTAGAAGCACCACAGATACTTAGTTCTTTAATAATGGGCATTCCACTAGCACTAGTCATTAGGACAATGTGAAAAGCAAGATGGAGACTATTCCTGTCCCCATGGACCCACAGTCTAATGGATAAAGGAGAATTGGCCAAGTAATTGTGTATATAGAGTTGCAAAAAAAGAAACTACTAGGTGACTTGGGAATATAAAAGTTTCCGACCTATAACACATTATAAAGGAAGTTTCTAGTGCAGTGGTATCATGTGGACCAAAATTCAAATACCGGTACTACCACTTGCCAGAGAAATGACTGTGGCCAACTTACTTCTTTCTTGAGTTTTAGTTTTGTCTTCTATAAAATGATAATAATTATATGCATACATCCAAGATAACCACATAAAGTTTCTGTTTCATATCAACACTAGCTTCCAGCATGATACTCACAGATAACTAACTGTAGGACAATCTAGAGCTAAGCGAATTATGTAAACAATGTGCTGATGATACTCAGAGGATGGAGAGATGGCCATCTACTGTCAACCTGTAGGAGGGTTATGATGTTTCATTGTTGGAGATTTAAAATCAGATATCCTGGACCAGAGAAGTGAGAGAAAGCAAAATTGTGTAGCCAAATAGAATGCTAGGTTCTTTTTGTGAGCACAGAGGATATGCTGGTAGGTAAGCAGAGGAGGGGGTAGGGATGGGATGTTGTCATTAGTGCTAATGTCATAGACATGAGCTCTCCTGGAATGTTCCTTAATGCAGTTAAGCAGGGTTCACTCGGTTAACTCAGTTTCACTCAGTTTCACTCAGGCTTAGGTTTTAACTGATGACTGAAGCTTCCCATCATGTAGTATCAGAACCATTCATTGAGCTTCTCAAAGCTAAGTTCTGAATTAGTGTTATGATACTAGGAGTTGGAGTGGAGAAGTGGGCAGGGAGAGAGTAGATTTATTTTTCCTCAGGAAAAATGTCTGGTCTGTCTGTTTTCCTGCAGAATAATGCCCTTTGGGGCTTTCTGTTGTTTTACTGTTGTTTATTTTGGTTTCCTCTCCCTCTCCCTAGTGGTTAAAGTTTTTGTTTGTTTGTTTTGTTTTGTTTTTAAAGAGAATGAATACTCTGAATTTTCTAGGAAAATCTGACATACCCTCAAGCCAAAACAGCCCTGATCCCTGTCCATAGCAACGTTCCTGGCCTGGGTCACCTAGCAACCTCCAGCACAATTTCTAATTTCAATTTAGTTTTAAATTTTACTTCTTAAGTTTAAACTATAACTGTCAAATTCCATTTATCAGGCAAGTAAGCATTCTGCACAGGTGGTTTATCCAGTTAGTTCTAGGAGGAGAGCTATGGCAGTGTTGATCAAAGGGAACTAAACACACACACTCAGGTATTTTTGCTCTCCTGGCCACTGTCTTGCCTGACAGGTTTTGCTCTTGGCAACCCTCAGCCCCCTGCTGGAATGTTCCCTTTGTGGGAAAGCTTTTTGTAAAGAGCATTATTTTCTCTAGTATCTTATTAACCAATAGCATTTCATTTAGTTTGAGTTTCTCTTTTGCAGCCAAAAAAATAAAAAGAAGAAAAAAAGACTAGGAAATATATTGAAGGGAAACAGTAATCTTACAAAAATATATGTTTGCATTAAAGCCTTGACTGATGATGCCTAGCTGCTCCTTATGTTGCTACAATGGAGCAGAGATGCCAAAATTATCAGGATATTTGTATGGTTTACCCTGCAGGGCAGTAGCTCTCAATTATATCAGATTTCTTCCCATGTACTTTTACAATAAATCCTTTGTAACAACCTCCTTGCTCTCCTGAAATTAAATTCAGAGTACATATATTTTACCTACACATATAATTTTTAAAAATCAATATACTGGAATAACTATACTATAAAGGAATAATAAAAAGATAGTAATTTATAATAAAATAGGCTTCACTGGAAGACATAAAGAAGTAGTGATATGCTAGCATCTTTTTGTAAAATTGCCAGGAACACACCACTAGGAATAAAGACTGGGGAACATGTGTAATATTGGTGACTCAGAAACATGGTCAGCATTGGCTTTGGTGCTGTGATTCCAGATTACTTATATCAGTTGTTAACAGGACACTTGAATGTGTGTGGGACGTAGGATTATTCTTCATTGCTCAGGAGGTCTAGCAGCATGTAGTCATTATGACCAGAGAAATACCCCACAGATTCCTAGAACTTCTCCTAAGGGACAGCACCACCTCTGTGGCACAGTGTAAGCTCTTTGCAAGCACAGATTTTCATCTTGTTCATTTGTAGCCCCAGTGTCTCCAAAGCACACGACCCTAAAGTTGTGTTTCCTGCATTCAAAGGAACTATAAAGAGATTTGCTAGGGTGTTGGATAATCTACTAGTAATTTTCATGAATGTTCCAACAGAATTTAGCTTACTGCCAGAGATTTCTCTTCTAATGTTGGCTTTGATCTCTTTGAAAATATACACAGAACACCCTACCCACCTAATATTTTAAATAGATTTGTACATTCATACTATAAAGGTTCATATTCGTACCTTCATGAAAGCCCATTCTTAAACAAGTAACAAAACTGAACCAGATTCATACATTGATCTTTGGAGTACAATCTAAGCCTGGCTGGACTGCTTTTCTGGCCTTCCCATCCAGTTGGGACTGTGTGCTATCTACTGAGTAGAGAATACAGGTATATACAGCTACTGAGTGGAGAACAAATGATAGTGGGTTTGGGCATCAAGTGTTCATTTTTGGTTCGATACTTTTTTTTTTTTTTTGAGACGGAGTTTTGCTCTTGTTACCCAGGCTGGAGTGCAATGGTGCGGTCTCGGCTCACCGCAACCTCCGCCTCCTGGGTTCAGGCAATTCTACTGCCTCAGCCTCCTGAGTAGCTGGAATTACAGGCACGCACCACCATGCCCAGCTAATTTTTTGTATTTTTAGTAGAGACGGGGTTTCACTGTGTTGACTGGGATGGTCTCGATCTCTTGACCTTGTGATCCACCCGCCTCGG